GCTCTGAGATTTCCGACTCTCTCTCTCTCTCTCTCTCGCCCTTCCGCTATCTCGATAAGATTCGCAAATAAGAACTCACAAGTTTTTCCACGATAGAATTTACGTGGAGAAGAAAAAGGGTGTGGATGTTTCAGGGAGAAAAGAAGCTGGGTGTGAAAAATTCATTCCACGTTTATCGAAGCTTGAGAGTTTATTTCGTTCTTTTTCACTTCCTGTTCGTACAATTTTATCTACCAACCTATTAATCTCTCTTACTCGGCACTGATACGAGAGATTTGTATTTTCCTAGTCGTATCAACACAAATTTACTCTAAACTTTTTCTACAAGAAAGAAAATAGGTTTTCTTTTTTTTTTCTTTAGACACGGAGAAAAAAGAATTGTTGTGGTTATTAAAAATTAAGTCCACACAACAATTCCTGATTGTCAATATAGAACCAGCAGATCTATTTGTTTTTGAGACAAAAAAAATATTGTTAAAATGGAATTGTTATTAAAACTTTTTGGATTGTTCGGTGAAGAAACAGAATTGTTTGATGAACAAAGAAAATTGTTATGGAACAGTTGAAATAACAAAACTAAATTGTTAAATCGTCAATACAATTTGTTTTATTAACAAAGCTTTGATCCGTCTAATACAATTTGTTCAGTATCTTCGCCTTCTAAAATAATCGATAGCAGATTTCCGTAGGTCATATCACCAGTTTCATTTGCATTAAAATCTGTGGAACAGGCAGCTTCTGAATCAAATTCTTTGACCTGAAACCAAAAAATTATTTTGAGTTGAAATTTGTTGTTAAATAATATTTAATATACATTTTGTATTTTTTAAGGTGAGGTTATATTCAATAGTAACCGTGTATAACTTACCGATAAACGATGAAATTGTCTCTTCATCCATTCACTACACTTGCAATAGATTTCTCACTTTAACAGGATTTTTTATTTAACACCACTTTGTTATTTTTTCTAAAAAAAGGAATAATAAAAGCAAAAGTGGCACATGTGCCAGAAGCAAACGCCGCGACGATCTGCACGCCAGTTTGCGAGAATTCAAGATGACCACGTGATATGGAACAATAAACCTGTCAGCAGAACAAATCCGGATTGTTCCATCAGCAATCGACAGTGAGTTTGCTTCTTAAACTGTATGGCATTGCAAACTGAACAAATGTGACAATAAAAAACTCGTGTTGTTGTTAAAACAACATACATTTATACTGACAACAATCCGAATTATAAATATTAACATTTCGAATTGTAATATCAACAAATCTACTGACAACAATCTAAAAATTGTTTGCAGAGCAATCTTATTTTTCTCCGTGGCACCCAACAAAATATAAAAAAGTTGAATATAAAGAAAATGTTTCTATAAAAGAGAAATAACTAATGTTTTAATCGAAAAAAAAATATATATATAAACATTTATTATTACATCTGTTGTAATAATGATTAAATGGTACTTTGTTAATGAATATTGAAAGATAACAATTGCAGGATAAATTGTTCACGAATCTGTCATAACAAATGTTAATTAATAATAATTACTGAACAAATATATGATTTGAATATGTCATTTACAATATATATATAAACTGGAGATAATTAAAATATTAAACTTTCAGTCAGGGGAAATTTGGTATGAAATTAATTACAGCTTAAATGAAAATATATGCATATCGTGCGATGCTTATATTGTGAATTTCAAATGCATATTCAAGAGTTTTTTTTTTTTCATAAAGTTACAACGCTATATATATTTTCATATCCGTAGCAATTTCAACTGAGATTTGACTTTTCAATGCAATTACTCGAGACGTTTTTAAAAGGAAAGCCGTGTGGCCAGAAAAGTTTAGATTTCAGGACTAAACACTTTCATGAAGAAATGTTACAAGTTTCCCAATGGAGGCAGAAATGGTTTCAACCGTAAGAAATACCTCACAGATTATGCAGTGAGTTCATGCATTTTAATGGCATCTTTATGCAAATATTGCGATTGGTTTACTTGGTTATTCTTTCTCTATAGATGTATATATGTATATACATATTTGAAGGGAAATAACATTAAGTAAACAATAAACTTTATTGATATTTACTTTTTACTTTATCGAAAATTTTCGATTTACATCATCATTTTCAATATTTCGAAAAAAATTCTTTATTTGAAATTAATAAATAAATTCATAATTTATTTTACATTTTTTAAAATTAAATTATTAAATAATATTAATTTTTATAATTAAATTATATTTAAAATTGAAATATTTATACACGGAAAAAAAGTACAACTATATCTAAGAATTTTTTCTCCATAGTAGCTAAATATTTCGTCGAAAATGAACGAGCAATACTGGCATTATCGCTGTTTTGGCAACTGTGAAAATCTTTGGTCAATATCTCTATATTGGTGAAAGTGTACTGCTAATTTATACTTTATGTTACTTTATAATAAAGATTTTGAAATTCCTCGTTTACAGTATTCAAAATGTATAGCTAAAAACATAATTCTGGTGAATAGTTATAAAGATTAGACTGAAAGCAAACAAAAAATGCGTGCAGTTTATAGAAAATGATGTAAAATACAGAAAATAATAATTAAATGATTTTATAATAAGAGAATTCTAAATTTAAATATTGTTAAATTATATCTTGTGTTTACAAAATTATAATTTACGGATTTTGAAATTTGAGGTTATATTTTCAGTGAAATATTTGTTTTTTTAATATAAATAAAAATTATTTGATACAACAAATTTAATTTAATGGTTCAAGTAAAGTAAATTATTTATTAATACAAATAATTTATTAGTTATTGCTAATACATTATTTTATTAAAAATATTTCGATGAAATAAATAAATAATTGATTTAAACGAAAAAAATCAAATTTTTTAAAATAAAACAATGAATTATTTGAAAAAATTAGTGGGACCTATGAATATTCCTCACATTTAACTTATAAGAATTTCTGCGGCGTCAAATCTTAAATTATTGAATTTCTATTCAGGAAAGTTTTATAAAGTGGATTTCACATTAAAAAAATTTTTTATATCGATGAAGTTTGATTGATAATAGTAAATTTATTACTATACATTTTTGTTTTTGAGCTGGGAACGAAATAAGATTTCTATATATTTCTGTTTTTGAGCTTGGAACTAAATAAGATTTCTATCTACCTCTTATTTTTGTTCTGTTCCTCGGCACGAAATATAATTACCTCTTATTTTGTATCGTGCCGGGACACAAAACAAATTCCTTAAGAGCATTTGAACCTTCGTGACGTCACAAATCATGGCGCATGACACGCAAACTTCTCAGGTATGTGAAAAGCACAATTTTGAATATTTTTTAAAAAAACCTTTTGGAAAATGTTCAGAATAACATAGACTCTGTCTGTTATGTGCGGAAAATTCAAAATTTTGCGTATAAAACGTTTTTTAAACAATGTTAAGGTCACAAATCATGGCGCATGACACGCAAACTTCTCAGGTATGTGAAAAACACAATTTTGAATATTTTTTAAAAAAAACCTTTTGGAAAATGTTCAGAGAAACATAGACTATGTCTGTTATGTGCGAAAAATTCAAAATTTTGCGTAAAAAACGTTTTTTAAACAATGTTTAAGTTGGTTGTCACAAGTAAGGAAAAATACACGAATTGCTTATATGTAGGCATTGTTTAAAAAACGTTTTAAACGCAAAATTTTGAATTTTTCGCACATAACAGACAGAGTCTGTGTTATTCTGAATATTTTCCAAAAGGTTTTTTTTAAAAAATATTCAAAATTGTGCTTTTCACATACCTGAGAAGTTTGCGTGTCATGCGCCATAATTTGTGACCTTAACATTGTTTAAAAAACGTTTTAAACGCAAAATTTTGAATTTTCCGCACATAACAGACAGAGTCTATGTTATTCTGAACATTTTCCAAAAGGTTTTTTTAAAAAATATTCAAAATTGTGCTTTTCACATACCTGAGAAGTTTGCGTGTCATGCGCCATGATTTGTGACGTCACGAAGGTTCAAATGCTCTTAAGTAATTTTGTTTCATGCCTCTGGCACGGAACGGAACAAAATTATAATTCATTTTAGTTCCGTTTCCGGACACATTCCTGATATGTACATAGTTAAGTTTTATGATTAAATAAATTTAGTTTAATAGAATAGTCAAATTTAACTAATTTTAATTCAATAAATATTTTACTAATTCAGATTCTTAGAGAGTATAGAATATTAATTTTTTTCCAGTAGAAAATATCAGTTTTAGTTAAACATTAACTGACATGATAAAATATAAAAAAAAATAAACAGGGAGAATATTAAACATTGAATGAATTATATGTAGCTTTTAGTCGAAATAGAAAATATCCAAGTTTTCCATTAGAATGTATCGTGTTTGGTTGAACGCGAAAAAAAAGAGAAAAAAAAGTTCAGAACAGTAAATCAATTATTTTTTATGCTGCATTCCTATGTAATAAACTTATTTACTGATATTCACATTCCTTAAGTGTATTATGTGTATATATCATTTGAAATTTATTAAGAATTAAAAAATATTTTCAAAAAAGAAAATAAAAATCTTTTTCTATAATTTTTTAAATAATAAAAATTATAAATAATTATATTGTATTATTAAGAGTAACTTACTTATTTAAAAATGGTTACCTTTACTAGATATATAAAATACTGTATTACAAAAAGAATATATATATATATATATATATATATAGAGTTGTAACCAAAGAAGGAAACTTAAAAATAATAAACAACATTTTCAACGTAAAAAATTTTTATAAAAATTAAGAGAAAAAATTTTCAAATATTAAATGATCAGTTTTCAGTGAAAAATATGGTTTAGTAAAATATAATATTTCTCCGTATAAAACAAAGGAAGTTTGTCTGACATATTTTCAAGAAGGGAGAATGAAATATTGAGAATATCTGATTTCAAAATTTTTTAGACATATGAAAACAAGAAGAAAGTTTATTTTCTCGACTTACCACTTCCTTAACTTTCTGCCCTATTGACCTCGTGTTTTTATTCTGGAATTTAAAAAAATATTACTTTTATTAGTTACAATTCTGGAAAAATGGTAAAACTTTTCTTACAATTTTCTTTTTTTTCCATCGACAACTTTTTAAATACTTTTTTCCTGATTCTGAACAGTCAAGCGTATTGGTTTTAAAAAAAATTATTTTTTTTTTAAATACAATTTCTAAAAAACTAAAAAAAAAATTTAAACAATCAAACATTACATTCTTTCAATTTTTCTTAATGGAATATGATTCTAAGTCCAAATAAAATTTTTTTTATTATTTTGAACAATTAATTTTTAAAAAAATTTATTTTTTTCAAAAAATAAAAACGATAAAAAAATTATTTTTAATCGTAGAATATTTTTAAATCATAAATAATGTTAGAAAACAAATTGTCATCTTTTAAAGATTAAAAAGTTAATAAAAATTTTAGCTTTTTGAATAAATAGTATAAATTCCAAAAGTGAACTAGAATATATAATCAGTACCTGAGAATAATTAAAAGAATTAAAAAAATTTTAAATCATCAAAAAAATTAGACCTATAGTAATCAAGCAAATAATTAAATGAGCACACTGCCAAGAGCTTTCAATTCATAATTAGAAAAATCTTCCATTTTCATAGTCGACTTAAATTAATCTTTTGGGGGCTTCTGCATTTATATAATTGCAGAGATATGTATACGTTTCATGAAATCTTAATAAAGAGTAATTTTCCTCAGAATTTTTCATGAATTTATTTAATGACAAACAAAAGTACAAATTATTATCATTATTTTATCATTATAATACCAATTATATAATAAACAAGAGATAATATTCATTAAAAATTAATAATTGATTCGTGGATGAGTGGAAAGGATATTGTTTGCTATTGCATTGGCTCAGTGACCCGACAGTGACCTAGTTTTGCACTCGCTTCCTCGTCTCGCGGAGTTGCTCCCAATTCCAACTTCTCTATTTCATCTCTATAAACATCCCCTCCGCGACGTTTTCACCCTCATCAGTAAAAAAAAAAAAGAAAAAATTTCCCTCCATTATTCTTCGCTGAACTGAGTTTTGCTTTGCTATTCGTTTTTTATTTATTTGTTTTTTCATATATAATTGCTGTCAAAATTGAAATGGAAATTAGAAGAGGAAACTTCCAACTCTATATTTTCGAATTGTGAAATAATTTAGTTTGTTTTTTTTTCTTCTATTTTGTAAATGCCCACCGGTATAAATCAAATTAATCTCACGTCCTTATAAATCAGTGGAAAAAAAAATCAATCACATTTTACATGTATAGGGAAAAAAAAAGTTTTGAAACTAAAGCCATTTTTCAAAAGCTCATAATATATAAACATCAATGAAGGAAAATGATGAATAAAAAAAATAACAAACTAATTTTACATTCAATAAATGCAGGGGTGGCAACCGAAATTTGTTCGGTTTCGGTATTCCGGTTTGGGTTTTTAATGTCAAAAATTTCGGTTTTTTAGGTTAACGGTTTCGGTTTTTCGATTATTTTCCTCTAGTAATAATATGAATGAAAATATTTAAGGATTTGTATTATTTTGAACAAAATAAATATGTTATAATTACTCATAATTTATTTTATAGGTATGAACATTAAAACTCTAAATAATTGAACAAAATGTAGAATATTCAAAACAGAAATAATTATTTTATTGATTTTTCATATTAATTTTTTGCAGCAAATAATTTATTTAGACAAATAAGTAACACATTTTCCAAAAGATCTGAAGAAAGATTGCTATACGTAGGTGAGATTACACGAACTTAAGACTTGAAAATAAGCTTTCTACGCTTACTTGGGTTGTTGGAACTGATAGTACTTGATCAGCTAGAGCTCGCAATAGAGGAAAATCATTTCCCATGAACTTCCAGAAATCACAGATTTAAATTTTTTTAGAAACCTTTTTTGTGACGAATTGTAAGAAATTAAAACGTTTTTGATTAAATTTTCTTCGATTTGTTTTGCTGATTGTAAAGTTTCATTCCTACTCATTTGTTTTAAGTTTAAAAACCGAAAAGAAGTGAGAAAGCAAAATTTAGGTTCCGAAATAACGATTTTTAAATTTTTATAATAAGGGTTTCGGTTTTCGGTTTCTTAAAAATTTCTGTTTTTTCGGTTATCGGTTTCGGTTGCATCTCTGAATAAATGTTTAAAGTATCATACAACACACTTCACGTTATAAACACGTTAAAAATGAATTGAATCACACATCACTACAGACGTTCATTTCTCATCCCAAGACCCTTCTACAGTCCAAATTTTGACCCTGTTACTATTTTCGTTTGAAAGATACAGAATTTTAATGGTTTTTACCGTTTAACATTATTTAGCCCCGATCTCCCTTATTTGTAACATTTTTTATATATCAACACAATATTTGCGAGCCAAAATATACATAAAAAACAAAGCTTTTGTTATAATGCTATTTTTAAAAATAAATAAATAAATTTTAAACAAAAAAAAATACAGACAGTATATGGCTCTTTTGTTGAATAATTTTTAATTACCTAATATAAAACATATTTGTTTTTGTTTTTTATTCAATTTTTATTATAAAGGAAAAACAATGCGATCAAGGGCAAATTAAATTTTCGCGGATCGTAACATATTTTATTCCTTTTTGTTTAATTAATTTTTTGATATTTTTTCTTTATAACCTTTTTTTTTAAATTCAAATACAAATAAATACATTTGAAAAACAATAATGGTTTGTTAACAATTATTAATAGCTTTGTAATAAAATGATTTATGCAGAAAAAAATTTATTTTCAATTTTCGTAACCTCACATTATTTGTCAATACATAAGTGATTTATATCCCGCGTAAATTACTGGAGCTTAGATGATTTATTATCGTTTTCTATTACATTAACCATTATTCTATCAATGAACACAACAAAGCTGTAATTAATAATTTTCTGCCATAGGGGCATTTAGGGCATTTCTAAACAGGAAAATTATTTATGAAAATCAACAATAACAGTAAATTATGTGTTTCCGTATTTACGTAAATAATAATAACATTATAAATAAATAATGGTAGGGTCAGTTGGGGTAAATGGGGACAAAATCGCTATTTTTCGCAAATTACGTAAGTTTCTTCCTTCAAAAGGTAATATTTGCGGGTTTATTTTTTTTTAAGTTGTTATTTACATTCCCAGGATTAAATTTAATACATCAAAAAAAAATTTAGATAAACTTTAAACGCATGAAACTGACTGTCCCCATTTACCCCAAAATTTAGAAAATTTTATAAAATTCGGGGTAAATGGGGGACAGCATAGTTTCTAAGAATGTTTTAAGAAAAAGACTTGAATTATCTTTCTTCCAATTGTCAAGATAAAGGCTTGGCAATACTCAAAACCTCTTACAGGTGATCTGAGGTTAAAATATTGATGTTGAACTTAATTTTAAAACTGTAAATTAAGCTTCAAAACCTCTTGTCCCCATTTACCCCAACTGACCCTATATCAAAAAAGAAAATCTAAATATTTATTTTTTATTTTTTTGTCGGGCATAAAACTTTTAGTAGAAAAATTTATTTATGGTCAAAGAAAAATTGTAAAGAAATTAAAAATAATTTTAAATTATTGTTAAAATATCTATTTAAAGTGGAGTAAAACATATTCAGAGAAAATTTTTTTTTCCAATGTAACGTCAATTCTTAAAATTTCAGTAGAAAAATCAATTTTTAGCCAGACAAACATTGAGAATTATTTCATTTTATTGTGATTCAGATGTAAAAAATACAAATTTCAATTAAATTCAAATCACGGTCAATTTGATCTATTTCATTCATTTGATTTAATTTTCTTTTGAAAAAGAACAATTTCTTGCGTAAATAAAAATAAGCTATGCAGTCATTTTTAATGGAGACGTCTCACAACAGACTTTGTGCTTCTGAAGAGATTTCCTCGCAACCTTGGACTAATGGTCGAGTCAGAAAAGTAAAATTTAAGCTTTCTCAGTGTATACGTAAAAAGGGTACCTCTCTTTCACAGTGTGCATTTTTATTCAATACTTATATTCAATTCTATGTGTATATGTATTCCACCTTCTATTTCCTCTTTTACATTTCACTTTTTCATTGTATATTCACTTTAAACCTCTTTCATAATGCTTTCCTGATAATGCAGATATTGAGAAAAAAAGTAAAGTAAAAGGAAATTTGTAAATTCCATACACATAATCTTATTTCATACATGATTCTATATATTCTTACTGTACGATCTTTTGAGAAAAAAATTTTTTTTTCATGACATCCAATATATATTCAATTGCTGTCAATAACATCTTAATGATTCAAAAAAATATATTTAAAAAAAAATCGATACACATGATTATAGAAAAAGTTTTTCTAAACTTTATAAAAACTACCGGAAATGTGACGAATATATTATATTTAGCGACCCACGACAATATTTCACCCGAGAATTTTTTTTACATCTTCACCTATTTTTTTATACAAACTCTGAAACCTCTAACGTATTTTATGTCTCTGATATTTTTCATAATTTTAATATTTTATACTTACTTTTTGGTTAAAAATCTTAATTTTTGTTACCAGTAATTTAAAAAAATGTATCTATAATTAATTTAATATATATTTTCTTCTTGTTAATTTATTATTATATTATATATTATATATTATAAAGATAAAGAATACTATTATAATATTAAAAACTCGATTTTTTTAAAAACTTTATTAATAAATAATTTATTTTAAATATAATAAAAAGAACAAAAAAAATTTACTTTTACCATTAGGTATGATTTTTAAAATACATTATTTTTAACAAAATCCAACAAACAGAGTTCTGTAGAATATTTTAAAGAACAAAATAAATTATTTGAAATTGGATGAAATATATACGATTGTTTATTAAAATTGTGGAGAAACACAAAATATAGAATAATTATTATATAACAATAATTTTAATTGGAATCAACGTCAGTGAAGTTCACCATTTTTATGATCAACGATTGAAA